CTCAAGTCTCTTCAGATGTTAAATTTTCTGGATATAACGTCTTTTCCATAAATAGAGTATACAATATACAGTTTTTGAAAGTCTTGTATCTGGAAGTAACTCTGTTGAAAAACTTCTGAATTTTTTTATGGAAGCTAGTGTATTGGAGATCTCTAAATAGATAAAGTCTCGAATGAAAATTCGAAAATACAAATTTTTTTGAAGCCTAGAGTCTTAAATGACTAGATAAATTACAAATCCAATAGGTTTGCTGAATCTGATTAGGAATCGAAATTCTTTTAGGACTTTTACTAGCACACTATGTAGTATCTACGGACAAAAAATCATCGAAATGGAAAGGGAACAGCTGGAAAGGTACCCTCGTTACCTTTACATTTTGGGTGAAACAGTACATATTAGAGGCACTTGAAAGAATATATCCAAGGAAACCCCGTAGTAAGATGTACCAAAGTGATTTTTTAAGAAGTTGAAAAGTGCACTTCCCAAGTAAGCAAAAATTTACACAAGACGGCCGACATGACTAGTCCAAAATGTCCACAACAACCATCAGGTCTAGTCTGAAATGTATTGCACATCCGTCATGACTAGTCACCTTTGGAAGACATGTCCTTCGAATACGTCTGGACTAGTCTGAAATGTTTTTGAGCCCCTTCCTGTCTAGTCTGTTTTGTCCGATGAACTCGTCCAGACTAGTCCGAAGATTAAAAAAAGAAGATAGATGATGGATTCGAACATTCAACCCGACAGTATTCGAAACTTGACGGGCATCCTGACAGCAGATCAGAACACTCAGAAAGACTAACGTCTGTTTATACAGTCTTAACCGCAGATTGACTCACGTCCATTCGCTAGACAAGCAGAAATCATTCGATATCAAATAACTTTGACTAGTCTCAAATGTCTGTCATAAGAGTCATGACTAGTCCATAGCGTCGTCTGCACTAGTCATGACTAGTCATGTTTTTAAACACTGTGTCGCTCATAATAGTCCGGGCTAGTCTAAACCACTCTTGATAACTACTTTGTTTGGATTAAATATATCTTCTTAATTCGTCTTAACTGATCAATAAAGAAAAATGAAATAAGTGTAGTGAAAAAAGAAAAAATATTCAGTATATGCGTCACTTGTCAAAAATAATCAATGAATAGTCAAATGTGTTTAACACATGGATTAGATAAGATAATAGCAATCGTTTTATTTTATTGCCTATCTTGTGCTCAGTCTTCGTAAAATTGGCAACAGGACACGACCTGTTGTGTTATGATTACGGAAATTAATACTATAGATCATTATTTTATATCAAAGTTATGTCAATTACCACTAGTATTATTAACTTTTTCTCTTTTTAAGAACGACAATCAGAGAGACTGTCATAATCAATAGTGAAGCGAAAGATAGATACAGTACTTTGTGGATCTTTTTCTTAATATACTGTGTCATATTTTGTATTTTCATAGATTGAAAATATGAAGTATATCGAAACATAAAAGAAAATAGGAATAAGTACGGAGAACAATATTTATCTCGTAGCTAGTAATGCTATGTTCATACCATTTAAAACTTGCAGATGTGCTAAATTTATAAAAAATCGTGAAAATGATTTAAATCCTTCGGTATTTGAATTTTATGCTGTTTTGTTCTAAATATAAATTCTTATATAGTTTTAAAATTAAGAATATAAATTTAAACGATCCAGTGTTGATTTAATTGTAAGTTAAAGATAGACAGTGATTTAAATTTCATACCCAACTAAACTAAATCATATATGAAAAAATGAAGTTTCTTTTTAATAAAGATATTTTTTTTATTTTTGCATTTAAAATATTTTTTTTGATCAAACCAATTATTCCTGCTTGATAATATTGAAAAGATATTTCTCCAAAAACATGTAAAATTTTTTAAAATCTACTTTGTTTTATGTTGTCTAAACAATTGCGTACTCTGCGAAAGATAATTTTTTATTCATATGAGAACATAAAGAAAACAGAGCAAAACTATATTAAATAGCATCTTAGAATGATCATGAACATGCAGAAGTAGATCTCTTGATCATATGGCTCAGTGGTTCAAACGATGGGTAAGTTATACATTGTATACATGTTCGAATCTAACCTACATCCTTATATATTTTCATTTAGACTAGACCGGACTCGTCCATTTCGTAAGGTTACAATTCGTCCTATACTGTCCTAGACGTCCTTGCTTTTTCAAGTTTAAACCGCTTTTGGACGGGCGACAGAGATGCCAGTCCTGCCTAGTCTTTGTCTCAAAAAGTTCTCGTTTAAGACTAGTCTGCATATTCCATAATAACTTACTGTATCAATCGAATTCAGCTAAGTCCTCGATGAGTCTTTTTCAAAAAAAAGACTAGACTAGCCATGTTTAATGTCGCCCGTCAATCATGTGATTTAGACGGGGCTTCATGACGTCCACCATTCCTGGACTAGTCATGTACCAGTCGAATTTGAGACAAAGACTAGGCCTGACGAGCGACATGACGGGAAAAAAGACGAGTCATTATGCTCGTCTTAAGTTCACTTGGGTTGTCACTTTTTAAAAGTATAAGATACAGAATTCATTTTCATTCTACACTGTTATTCGATAAGAAAAAAGACTTGCTGAGAAAGAATGTATTTTCTCACAATAGGGATTGTGACGGGTTCGCTGACCCTGTTATCATCACATTTTCTGTGACACTTGCAGTCGATTCTTTCAATAGATTAACAGGATGTTTCAGGAACTGCTATCGTTCCTGACTGACTCTTCGTAAATTTGAATCTCACCTTTATTTGCCAGAACCCCAATGAAAATTGATATTATTTTTCATTCAATAGAAACTTAAATCTAATTTAGTTTTATAAATATCATGTGTCAGTTGGATCTCATAAAAACAATAAAAGAAAGACAAAAAGTGGAAGAGTCGTCAAATTTTATTTGGATTTTGTGATTGAAATCAATCTCGCGAAACAGAAAAGGTTAAGAGAAAGCTAAATGAATAAAATTTTTGCTAATTTGCCTTTCTCAACTATTTATCAATATTATTCTATGCAAATGTCTCTAGAAAGATGACGTAGGTCGTATCGAAAATATAGTTGATTTTGATTCAAAGACTTGTTTATAGCAATAAAAGCTCAAATATCTAAATGGGGTGTGGGTGTGTATCCTTTGTGTCAGCCCACACACTCACACCCACACCCACACCCAATCTTATATTCTCTAAGATAATCAATTCATGTACCCTAGTCGAACATCTTGGAATCAAGACCTTGGTATAAATTAGTAGGACACAATCAGATGAAAGAATTTGATGTTTCTTGCCCAAGATTTTAATTTATTAATTAACTGAAGATTAATTTACTGCTGCTTAGAATAAAAACACAATTAGTCTTTGTGAGGACGATAAATTTGAAGATTTCTTAAAGAAAACGTTCATCTCTAACTTAGACTCTTGTGCCGATACAGAATCTGACTTTCTATATTCAGATTCAGCGTTACATTTTATATTGGAGTTTCATTGAAAATCTTATAGATCTGCATTCAAGTTCTGTTTACATTTTTGTAGTTTATATCTAGGGTCAAGATGTTCGACTAGGGTAAATAGAAAATTTTATGAACTGTTTTATTTTCGATGTGTCACTCGATGTAGTAAATTGAATGAATCATGCGATGTTCTTGCATATTTAGTGATGATGAATTTTTCTTGTTAATTTTAGAAAACAAAACATATTCGCTATTATAAAAAGAAAATAGTTCGCCGGATAATACCTTATATACAGTGAAATCTCTATCAGTGAACACCTCTCGTAAGTGATCAACCCGTTATAATGAACACTCTCCGGAGTGACCGACTGAATTTTGCTTGTATTGACCCTCTCCTTTATGATCACCTCGACATTCTGAATGTGAACACTTTATTTCAGTCCTCACCATGTAAATAAACCCCCTATAATATGAACGTTGATAGCTAGGCCGCCTAGTATTGAGCTAATACTATGCATCCAATTGGTTAATTTTATGATTGGCTAGAAAAAGAGAAAAGGACAATGCACACAATCAATATCATATGTGAATAGAACAATGAATGAATGAATGCTTTTTTTTTGTTTTCCAACCATTATTTATTATAAACTATGACCAGTCGTCATGAACTTTCACTTAAACAGAAAATAAACTTAATAAACGAAAAAGAACAAGATTCATCCCATAAGACACTTAGTGAAAAATATGAAGTATCAATTGGTGCAGTGTCGAACATATTAAAAAGGAAGTTGGAATACACACATGATTATGAAACTCATAAAAATAAAAAAGTTAAATGAAAATTAAAAATATGACTTACGTCAAGAAATCAATGGCAACGTTTACGAGTGGTTTGTAGCCCAAAGAGCAAAAAATATTCCTATAACTGGACCAATACTTCAAGAATATGCTCGAGAAATTGGTAAACAGTTGGATCATTCAAACGAATTCAAGGCAAGCAATGGGTGGCTCGATACATTCCAAACTCGTTACAACATTAGTTTTCGAGTTATTTCAGGTGAAAGTCGAACAGTTAATCAAGATATAATAATTGATTGGAAATCTCGTTTATTGAACATTATTGAAGATTATGATCCTGAAAATGTATTTAATTGTGACGAGACCGTCCTCTTTTACAAGTTAATGCCTGATAAATCATTAACTGTGAACAAAAATGATTGTAAAGAAGGGAAAAAATCAAGAGAATGATGCATCGTGATGTTATGCACAAACTGGACAGGAATTGAAAAGCTGAAACCTGTTGTTATAGGTGAGTTAGTTGTCATAAATTATTATTATATAGCGGTTTTTTATTTATGTTTTAGGTATATCCTATAGACCAAGATGTTTCAAAAATATTGATAAAAGAAATTGCCGGTGTTATGGTACAGCAATCGTAGTTCATGGATGACTTGTAAAATTTTTAAAGAATGATTATATGATTTTGATTTAATTATGAAGAAACAAAAACGACATATTCTTTTATTTCTTGACAACACACCAGTTCATCCTCAAGATGTACAATTGGAAAATATAAAGTTAAAATGTTTTCCAGCAAATACAACAGCAAGAATACAGCCGTTGGATCAAGGTATTATTAGAGCCTTTAAGGCTTATTATGGACGTAATCTAGTCAAACATATTATTGTAAGTGGTGGTGTAGCTGTTACAACTGATGATATTAATATCATTGCTTTAGGAGTCTATGGGCTTTTTAGTGTACTCAAAAAGTGAGTACACTACTAGAATCGGTCAGTGTGTCCGGCCGTCCGGCCGTCCGTCCGTCCGTCCGTTTACACGATAACTTTAGAAAGGAGAGTCCGATCACGATGAAATTTTCTACACAGTTCAGTCTTTAGAATATCTCGGTCGAGTTCGAAGATGAGAAGGATTGGCCGAGCCATTCCTGAGTTATTGCAAAAATACCCATTTTCCTCTATAGCTTCCTATAGAAAAATCGACCCATCCCCGCTTTCGTAAAAGACTTTTCCTATCCTAGTCAATTAAAACCCCAACTATTATATACCATTCGATAGAGAATTTCAAGAGCTACAAAATGATGTATAAAACATAAAGAAGCAAGAAGGTTGACTCACCTATCACAAGGATACTAAAAGAGAACTAGGTTATATTTTGGTCCGCTATCTAATTGATCCACAAACAGAGCTTTATCTTCCGATCACAGTAATGATACTTCGAGGTTTTCAAAGATGGAGAACTCGAATGTGTACTGCACTTCCATCGAAATACTATTAGTTGTACAGTGACCAATAGAAATGAAGTGATAGGAAAAACGACTTTCTTAGGGTAAATCAAGGGAAAGAGTTCAAATTTGAGCTGTATTCGGTCCCAAGTTCTATTGGTTTGGCAACGCGCAATAGAAATCAACATTTGAAATGGTAGGTTCCCCAGTATAATTTCATGTTCAGACATTCTAGGATGACTGATCCGTATGATTCACTTTTTGAAGTACACATAACTCTCGGATTTAAATCCGAAGTTTCCGCATTTATTTTATTTCAAACTGAATTCTAAAATCAGAAAAACCACACCAATTTCTTCCGAATCAAACTTTTCTCGCTTGATACTACGTAGTCTCACTAAAAACCCTTAGTCCCCCCTAGTCCTGCAAAGTCCTCCTTAGTCCCCCCCACAAAAAGCTTAGTCCCCGCTTAGTCCCCGCTTAGTCCCCTGTGCAAGGGACTAAAGCCTATAGTACACAAAACCACAAGCACACCCTCACCCTCACTCGCGCGCCCACACCCACACCATGGGTGTGGGTGTGTGTGTGAGTCCCAGACCAACACCCACACCCTCAGTCACCTCTCCCCCTCACTCCTAGACTCACGTTTCAGTTTGAAATCAAGTATTATTTTTATTTGATAAATTCAGACTGAAATTAAATAGCCCATAGTATGTGCTTTAGATGCAGTTTACTGGATTTAAAATGCATGGGATGCAGTAACAGAAACAACAATAAGAAACACGTTTAATTCAGCTGGTTTTGAAACACGTCCTACAGTCAATGACATGTTACAAGGTGTTTTTATTACAAATGAAATTATTTTTATAGATGATAAATCAATCGAAGAATTAGATCGTGTATTAAAACATTTAAATATCAGCGGAAAATCAATTAATGGTTATGATTATGTGGCAAGGTGTGAGAGAGAAATTTTGGGAAATATATTTCTGATTTTTCACTATTTCAGGGTATTGATTATAATGCACCATCATTTAACGAATGGGACGAACCAGCTGATGAATTATTATCGATCAATGGAATTACCAATGAAGATGCAGATAGTAATGAAGATCAACAAAATGATGATTTACCAAGTGAAGAACCACTACCATTATCTGAATGTTTACACCTGATTCGTCGTCTTCGTCTTTTCTCAACAATGCAACAACCAGATTTACATTCTTTCATCATTCAATTACAACCTAAATTAACTGATGCATTACTTGATTCTAGCTTATCAAAACAAAGATCAATTACAGATTATTTCAAATATTTACCTGTTGAAGTTCATAAAAATCTTATAAAATGAATTTTTTTTTATTATAAATGGTTAAAAAAAATTATATTAATAAACTATAACAGTCCATTAAAAATGAACGAATAAATATCATTTACTTCGAAAAATTTGTATATTTTTACAAAACCTCTCCTATATGATCATCTTGTTAATCTGAACGATTTCTGAAGATACAGACAGTGTTCACATTAGAGATGTTTCACTGTATATTGGATACAAATCAAATATAAACATAGTGGGTCTATGTATTCATTTTACTGGAAATCATTATGATGCTCTCCTACCCTTTATAAATAATCCTCAACAATTTATACCCAAGCATGACATGATTAATATGAGTTTACAAAATGAAACAAGGTTTAACTAAAATAAACTAGTTTTTATTTTTTACAAATAAATAAAGTCTCCGGAACTACCTCCACGTCACGTCCTACAGGACAAAAAGAGGGCATTCGAAGGGCCTAAGGGGCGGTTCCTTAGTGCGCTCAAGGATGAATTATTTTAGATAAGTTGATCGAAACCAATCTGTCGTTAGCTTCACTTTTTGAAGTACACATAACACTCAGATTTCAATCCGAGGTTTCCGCATTTATTATATTATTACAATGTCATAGATATAGATATATGTGCCAACAAGGCATATCATCTTATATGATATCTTTACTTTCTCAGCGTGTTCCTGTACAATCAATGTTACGTAGTGATCATAATCGCATTATACTTATGTTTTTGTATGCTTGATTGAACCTTATACTCTTTCTATCGTAATGCGCTTCTCATTCCACATTCACTCGTATATTATATGTATTGCTCTCATCTATATGTTCTTACTCGATGTTCTTCTATATCTGTTCTCTCCTTGACCTCATCACTTGTTCATTCTTACGTTGTTCTCTCCCTGACCTCAACGCTTGTTCATTCCTACGTTGTTCTCTCCTTGACCTCATTACTTGTCCATTCCTACATTGTTCTCTCCCTGACCTCATCGCTTGTTCATTGCTACATTGTTCTCTCCTTGACCTCATCACTTGTTCATTCTTACATTGCATAATCTTCTGTTATACCTTTCCTTCCCCCCCCCCCCCCACTCCCCTTGTATTATATTATCTATTCTCTCTCTTCTCTCCCATCTCTCTCCTATATAAGATCATGTTGTGTTTGAAAGTGTTACATTTGGATGTAGTGCACAGTCGAATAAACATCATGCTCATAATGTGATCGAAGACATTAATGTGCCTCTCCATTTGTCATTACGAAATTATATATATATATTTTTTTTTTGTTACAATATTACCTGTGAAATCAAGTAAAACTAACACAGTTATTAGTGTATGAAAAGCCTTGTTTTCTATCTATCAATCAATCTATTACTTTATATCTTAAATATATCTATTTTAGATTTAATCAAATACTATAACATTACAATTATAACAACTGACTGGGTATGTGTAGCAGTACAATGTTTCACCGGTGAGTCGTATCTATTGTGTAATGATCACTATACTATGTTTTATAGTGAAATGAAACAAAAGCATTTCTGAGAATGATACTTTATTGAGTA